GGAGAGAAGCTGATGAAGCAGATCTCTGCTTCATCAGCTTCTTCAGGGGGGTCCTAGGTGACATTAGTGTCTTGGAGACCCCTGATGTCTCCATAAAAAGAGGACCTGCCACATCTTTTGCTATCACATAGAGGGGTTTCGTAGCCCCCTGTGATAGCAATAAAGTTAAGTGGAAAAAATAAATAAATAGGAAAACAAAATTAAAGTTTCCAAAATAAAATTAAAGTCACACATAAAAAAAGAATTAAAATTATTATTTTAAGGTAATGCTTGGAAGGACCCATGAAAAAAACGAGCGCTACACATCTCCATAGAGAGGCCCCCTCGCCATTCCGGTGACATGCTCCCCCCTGACGGAGGAAACACGAAAAACTGAGGAGCTAGGAGAGAAGCGGGCTTTTATGAAACAACAGAGGGTGACGTGTTTTCTTGTTAAAAGGGGTGAGCCTCTCACCAACTGTTCTGGAGGACGAAAGGGAAACGATGATTGCGCCCATTACGCCGCACATGTTACATATCGCAGCGAACGTCGCAGTGAGAGCGATGAGTGGTAAAAGCTTTTAAAGTGTCGCCTATTTCAATTTTGGGTATTGTAGTTTTTTGCGATTTCGCGGGTGCGCGCAATTTAAGCTTGACATGTTTGGTGTCCAACATGACCCAGTCTTTTATATTTTACCAAAAAATTGGGTAATAAAAATTGTTTCCTAACAATGTAAAAACACTTTTTTTTCTTTCAAAAATTTTCAGTACATTTTCTGAAAAAAAATAAAAAACCCCAGTGGTGAATAAATACAACCAAAAGAAAGCTCTATCTGTCCCCAAAAAAATGGTATAAAATTAATTTCAGTACAGCTTTGCATGACAGAATAAATGTCAAAGTACCGCAGCGCTGAATACTGAAAAATGGCCTGGTCAGGAAGGGGGTCTTAACACCTGGTCTTCAAGTGGTTAAACTTACCTGTGTCTTCTCCGCACGCTCCCGTCCAAAAATCTGAAAAATCTCAGGCGGCCGCAAAGGATCTTGGGTCAGGCGCAGTTCAGATTTTTGGCCGGGAGACGAGGAGACACACAAGGCAAATGCTTACACTAACATGGGGGAGGGAAAAAAATGTAGACTTTGTCACTTTAATCGTTATTTATACAATGTATACTAGGTATTGCTGTGCACACCAAAGTGTAAGGAACAAGAGCCATTATGTTTGGTAAATTCAAGACTCATGAGCTGTAAAAGGTTTTTAAAGTGTCACCTATGTAAAAAAAAAACAAGACATTTTGGGTATAGCTACACCAAGTCATTTCCAATCAGAAAAAAAATAATTGCATTTCAACATTCACGGAAAATGGAAAAATTCGTTTGACAGCTGGAGAATTGGTGTGTAAGAAGTGATCAATGTCCACAAAACTGCAGTTATCTATTAAACATTTGTTTACTGGAACATTCCTCTATACACAATGACAAGCAGTTGTACGTTAAAAGTTCAAATAATAGTCTCATATCAACATGGTCTTTAATGCAATAAGCAGACTTTGCATTTTACCTTTAATCACAACTCTGTTAATAAAGCCTTTAGCCCTTTGCCACTGCTAATTTATGCCATACATCGGCAACAGCAGGCCCCTGCAAGAAGATCCCAGGCTATTAACTCCCATTAAAACCAGGAGTAGAAGAATATATTTTGGTGGGCATGTTTATGTGCTGTATTTACCACACTCATGATCACTGTTTGACAGCTGAACACACAGGGAAGGGGAAGTTCCGCTGTGTAATCAGCTTTTTGCAACATGTTTCAGCAATAGAAACATTTAGCAAAATGTTTCTTTGTTGAAACATTGTATCAGACTGCTGATCATTCTGGGAAAAATCGGAAGTCTTTAGGGCAGGTTCACACAATTTTCCGGACCAGATATGGAATGCGGTGCATTGCGTTCTGCTGTGTTTTTACCACGTTTTCCAGAGCGGTTTTCTTTCAGCTTAAACTGTGCCTTTAGATGCGGTCCAGTGCCTTTGCATGTGGTTTTTATGCGTTTCCATGCATTCCGGACCAGACAAAATGAGAGATGCAGTATTTTTCTAATCTGGAACAGACTGCGCTGGATGAACAGGCCAAAAATAGCATAGGGATACATTAGGATGCATTTATATATCACATACATACATATTTCCTGACACCAATCCATGGCAGCATACAATGGGCTGGGGGCGGAGCCATACCCCATTGTATGCGGCCATGGATTGGAGCCAGGAAAGGAAAATTACAGATAGGTAAGTATACAATTTTCCGTTATATACATACACACAAATATTGGCACCCCTGCATCTGTCCCATCTCACTAAACCAACTTATGTGCCTCAAAGTGCTAACCCTGCAATTAGACCCGAATACTGATGATTTATTTCAGAAAAACACTTCATACAACTGTCTGATCTAATTATGTGCTTAAATATTAGAAGAAAAATACAATACAAGAGGTTTTTTCGGTGTGGTAATTTTTTGCGATTTTGGGGGCGCGTGCAATTTTAAGGCTTGACATGTTTGGTGTCTATTTACCCGACGTGACCCCGTCTTATGTTTTATCAAAAAAATTGGAGTGATAATAAAATGTTTCACTACATTTCATAGGGAAACAGTTTTTTTTCAAAATTGAAGGTAAGTCAATAGTAAAAAATAAAAACCCCAGTGCTGATTAAATACCACCAACCCCCCCCAAAAAATTGTATAAAATTAATTTCAGTACACCATTGCATGACAGAATAAATGTCAGTCAAAGTACTGAATACTGAAATATGGCCTGGCCAGGAAGGGGGTTTAACACCCAGGTCTTTAAGCGGTTAATTTGTATTTATTTTTTTCATAGCACATTATTTGTAATTTTTATATATTTGTTTTACCTTATCACTTTTTTAATTTAATTTTTTACCTTATAACTATATATTTTTTTAATGTGTATTTTTTACTATTTTGTATCACTTTTTTTCCCCACTTAACTTTATTGATATCACACAGGGGATATGCGATATCATTCAGGAGGTGACAGGCTTTCTTTATGAGCATGCTCTATCTTCTGTACAGCTCCGCTTGTGACAGCTGACAAAGGTAGGGGGCTGTGAATACAGTGCTTCTGTGTCACTTATCACATAGCGGAGAACAGACGTTCTCCGCTCTGTTCCCAACTCTCCATCCTGAAATGCTTTGTTGTAGTCTCAGGTCCCCCAGAAGAGTAGGGGGGAGTCCGTAAACCACGGCTGGTAGGGGGCAGACGGACCTTGCAGGGGAGCAGCTGGCAGGGGGAACTGAAGAGCAGGTTGCTATACAAATAATCCGGGCAGATCATTTGTACAAGCAGCCCGAACCTATTTAATAATTGAAAGCGCCAGCATCGGCGCTACATATCAAGGGCATCTTCACAAGTACAAGTACTCATGAAAATGCCCCGTATCGGCACCAATACTAGTATCGGTACATCCCTACTAATTAGTATTATCCAATCTTCTTCTTTCCTGTCGTTTTCAGATGTCCCTCCAGCACTGCTGCGGTTCTCCGATCCGGCGCTGACTGCTCTGTGCTTGCTGGCATTCCCTGTCCCACGGTGTCTGCATGTGGGTGCACGCTGTCCATAGACTTACCTTGTGTCTCTCCTCGTCTCCCGGCCGAAAATCTGAACTGCGCATGCGCCTGCCCCAAGATCCTTTGCGGCCGCCCAAGATATTTCAGATTGGAGCACGCGGCGAAGACAAAGTGTTTTTTAAAAGTTTTTTTTTTTTTTAAAGTTTATGCATATATCTACTGCTTGCTAGAAGTAAATATATGCACACACAAAAAAAAACAGAGGGTTTAATAACCCTTTAAGTGTCACTTTAACAGAAAACCTGCAAGCCTCTGTATTGGCTCATGACAGATATGTAGCCTCACTGGCCAAGAAAGGCACACATCTAGGTTCTTGACCAGAGAAGCAGAACTTTGCTGCCAATTTTTTGTGTATACAGCCTGTTAACAAATATGCACATATGGCAGATTCCAGCCAGACTCGCAGTTGAAGGCAGCACTGAGGTGAAGAGTGTGGAAACTGGAGCTAATCAATTAAGGAGCAGTGTGTTCTATTTGGAGCAATTGAGTTTGACAAGCAATAAATGGTTAACTTAACTAGTGACAAACCTGAACATTTTGCTGTCCTGGATTAGAATATCAATTTAGCAGAAAAAAAAAAAGCATAAAATAAGAATTAACATTGTGGCTTTTTAAAATACCAACACAGCTACTCAAATTATAACTAAATGACAACTAAAACAAGAACAGGTAAACTGGTCTTATGAAACACAAGTGAACAAAAATGCCACAGATATTATACAGCACTATAAAACAGAGTAACGCATAATGGAAACATAAAAACTGTTACATAAACTACTAAGTATGCAAATGAACACCGCACAAACACGGGCTAAAGGTCAGACGTGCATTACCCATATCGCCAGGTTGATAAATGATAGATGACTTTGCGAAGAACCCGTTTTTTACACGCAGTTGATCAAAAGCGAACGATTTTTCCGCGCTGAACGTAGATATAATTTCTCTCAGAGAGAACACACCATCTACTTTATTTGCACTTCCCGTGCTCGCTTGCAGCCTGCTTAGACCCTCTGAGCATGCTCAATGTGCAATTGAAAAGAGTGGGCGGAGTTTACTTTGTACATGCTCTGTTCCTACCAAAAAAATGGCAGTCTGTCTCGTTGTTTGGCGACACTCTGAATGCTAAATTACGTCACTGCCTATATTCTTGACGGGAGGAGAAGGCAGGGCGTTCGCTTATGGGGTAGTTAGGACATCAAAAAACGGAACGGGAAAATTCGAGATCTGCTTCAGCAAAAGGAGTACATTCTTATTTACAGGACATTGGACAACGCGAAGTAGAAAGTAGTGGACATATCACAGGTGGTGGAACAAAGTGCGCACTCACACTAAGGAGGCCTCGACAGACTGTCCGTGACGCGCACTATTCGCAAGCAGGGGTGAGGTATGTTCTCTAGGCTTGCCTTAGGCAAATCTGTTATTTTACCAGATGGCACTATCTAGGGGAAGCGGCTTTGAAATGGCGTGTATCTACCATGTTCATTATGTCGATTATACATTTGTATATGTTGCAATATGCTGGGTCATGCTGGAACTTCGGAGTCATAGTATCTTTAAAGGCCAAATCTTTCCAAAACTAATGTTTCGTGTGTTTATATAATTTCCTGCGTTCGAATGACTGCTGAGGGCTGTAATAGTAAAACTCAACTCTGGCAAACAGATCCAGTGTTTTTTTTTCCTTCACGTACAGATTTTGCATAATAAAGTAAACAAATAGGAATTTGCCTAGATATGTCTAGCACATTCTTTAGAGCTTCCACCTGTCTGGTTTTTAAACCTCCCAAGTCAAGCCTGGCATACCAGGAAAAGTGGTAGAAAGCATGCAGCTCCCTGTTAATTTTATACCAGTCAATATACCTTTCACGTCTTTATGTCAGTGTTAAAAAACAAACCTTAAAGTGATATTAAAGCCTCTCTTTTAAAAAAAAAAATATTTCCTACAAGGAGACCCACTTTTGCTTGAGGCTGTTGTCGTTTTTCTTTAAAAGTTTTTAATTCCTCGTTATCTAATTGGTCCCCCCCAATCCCCCCCCCCGTACGGGTGCCACCATCGTTCTAATGGAGGCGCTCGTGCCCGCAGTGGCTGTGCACGTCCATAGACACACACAGCCCTGTGGCTGGCCACGCCCCTTCTCTCTTTGATTGTTGGCAGAAGGAGCCTATGGCTCATCTGCTATCAATATCCTCCCCCCCCGCAACCAGGAAGTTTGGGGAACGGAGGATTGCTTCGGGGCTGGCGGCGGGGACAAGCATAGCTGACAGGTAAGTGTGGGGGGGACTGGGGGAGGAAAAAAAGGTGCTGGGACGTTTTTACCCTAATGCAGAGAATGCATTAAGTTAAACGCCCAGACCTTAATACTACTTTAATGCCTGAACTCTGTTTTGCAACTTTGGTAGGTTAACATAGGCATGCGCAGCCTATTGTATTGGAGTGTGCACACAATAGTACAATCACACACGTGTGTATATGTGTATATTATATACACACACTCATGGCCATAAATATTGGCACCCCTGCATTCCTGTCATATAATGCACCACTTTGCACAGAAAATCATTGCAATTACAAATGTTTAGGCATTCTCATGTTTATTTCTTTTGTTTGTATTGGTATGAGAGAAAAAAAAAAGCCGAATCTGAAACATTTCACACTAAACTCTAAAAATGGACTGGACAAAATTATTGGCACCTTCAAAATTGAAACTAATAATTGCATTCCAAGTCTTTGTGGAAAAGTAGGGACAATCTCAAGGTTACAAGTCCATCTCCAGAGATCCTAATATTCTTGTGTCCACTGTGCGCAAGATTGGCAAGAAGTTTACAGCCCATGGCACCGTAGCTAATCTCCCTGGACGTGGACGAAAGAACATTTGATCAAAGATTGCAGCAAAGGATTGTTCGAATGGTTGATAAAGACCCACTATGAATTTCCAGACAAATTCAGGCTGACTTTCAGGCACAGGGTGCAATTGTGTCAGCTCGCACTATACATCGCCATCTGAATGAAAAGGGTAGGAGACAGAGGAGGGACCCTACTGCTGACACAGAAACATAAAAAAGCCAGATTGGAGTTTTCCAAAACTTCCCTGAGGAAGCCAAAATCCTTTTGGGAGAATGTATTATGGACAGACGAAACAAAATTACAGCCTTTTGGTAAAGCCCATCATTCTACTATTTTCAGAAAAAGAAATGAGGCCTTTAAAGAAAAAACAGTCAAACATGGTGAAGGTTCACTGATGTTTTGGGGTTGCTTTGCTGCTTCAGCCACTGGATGTCTTGACTGTGTGCATAGCATTATGAAATCTGAAGACTACCAAAGAATTCTTGGGTGCAATGTAGGGCCCAGTGTCAGAAAGTTGGGTCTCCGTCAGAGGTCATGGGTCTTACAGCAGGACAATGACCCAAAGCACCCAAAAATGGTTTCAGACAAAGCGCTGGGGAGTAGAGTAGAGTACTGGACTGACCAGCAATGGATCCAATTTTGAATTCCATAGGGCACTTGTGGAGAGATCTCAAAACAGCAGTTGGGATAAGGAACCCTTCCAATCTGAGAGACCTGGAGCAGTTGGCAAAAGAAGAGTGGTCCAAAATTCCTGTAGAGAGGCATAAGAAACTCATTGATGGTTACAGGAAGTGATTTTAGTTATTTTTTTTCCAAGGGCTATTAATTGAGGGTGTCTGTAATTATGTCCAGTCCGTTTTGTGGAGTTTTGCTTGGATTGTGTCAGATTTGGCTTTTTTTTTTGTCTGTACTTTTTTACTTTTTTTTTTTTTTGTGCCATACCAATACAAACAAAATAAATACATTTAAGAATGCCTAAACATTTGTAATTGAAACCGATTTTCTGCGCAAAGTGGTGCATTATCTGACAGAAATGCAGGGGTGCCAATAGCCATGACTGTATGTGCGGCAGGGGCTGACTGGCAACTCCCGGGGGGCAATTGCCACCCTGCCCCCCGGCCCAGTCCGCCCCTGATGTGCGGCATACAGGCATTTGAAAAAGTGGCAGAATAAGATCGCTAGTTTGTGTCCTCCCGTTACCCTAAGGAGAACAATGGGGAAAATACATAACCCCATAGTTCTCTTTTAACAGAAACAATAGCTGTTCTTGCAACTTCGTTGCTTGGCCACCTAAATATAGCGACAAGCTGCAGTAAAGGTGGCCAAGCATTAGAGTCGGTTATAGCACATGAGAAGATATTGTAGTTAGAGAGACAAATATCAGGATTTGATTTCATTAATTATAAAAAAAAATTAAAATGGCTGCCGACCTTGGTGGCATTTGGAACCCACAATGTATTTGGCAGTGATGATGTTGAGTTATCATATGTTTAACAAGTTTAACATACTTCAATAGTGATAACTTCGTTGCTTGGCCACCTAATAAATATAGCTGCAAGCAGCAATAAAGGTGGCCAAGCATTAGAGCCGGTTATAGCACATGAGAAGATATTGTAGTTAGAGATATAAATAGCAAAGTTATGTATTCACAATAGACCTGTACTACTGCACACGTTTTCAAGAATTGTAATCTTTTTCCAAATTCAAAATTGGCCGCTGACCTTTCACATCTATGTTAAATTTGCATGTATGTTGCTGAGTAATTGTGTATCAAATCTTAAGATAGTTCATAGTGACATAAATACACATTTGTGCAATTTGCAGCAATGTTAAATGTGATTGGCTTGCATCGACCATATTGATGTTGATATTCACTTCCTATGACCAACCTTTAGTAGGGGAGGTGGCCGTAGAAATGTGTGCCAAATTTCGCATTGTCATGACATACGGTTTCATAGATGACAATGTTTGTAGAATTTTGCTCAATCCAATATGGCTGCCAAACTATGTGGTATATAGACTTGTAAAACACAAGTCTGAGTCAGTATCTCTCTATAGACCTCTACAACTGGACATGATTTGAGGAATTTAATTTTGTTTTTATAATTCAAAATGGCCGCCGACCTTGGTGACATTTGGAACCCATATTGTATTTGGCAGTTATGATTTTGAGTTCTCATATGTTTAACAATTTAACATACTGCAATAGTGATATAAATGCACGTTTATGCAATTTGATGCAGTGTTAAAAGTGATTGGCTTGTGGTGGCCATATTGATTTTGGGATTGGCTTGCTTTGATACTCCATTGTAGACAAGGTGGCCATGGACGTGCCAAATTTCGCATTGTCCCGACCAAACAGTTTCAAAGAAATAGATGATTGTGGAATATTGCACAATCTGATATGGCTGCCAAACCATGTGATCAATAGACTTATAATGTACACATGTGACAACAGAGCACAGGATAACCTCCCACAGTAATTTGTACATCTGTAGCTTATATTTTTTATAGGGCTGGTAATGATTAAAATTTTCCTGTTCGATTCATCGAGATTTTTTTTAATCGATTAATTTCGATTAATTATAACGCACATACAGATCCAACTACATTGGCCTATACACATACCGCACAGCAATGATGTAAAAAAATGAACTAGGATCACAGTAATCCAACATGTTATTAATCTCAGGTGCCCCACTCAATATAGCCGCCGCTTGAGTAGGGCAACTCAGAATAATAACGTGCTGGATTAGTGTGATCCTAGTTCATTTTATTACTTCATTGCTGTGCTGTATGTGTATAGGCCAATGCTTACTTCAGAAATAATAATGCTATTAATCATACATTTTCATATCCTCCTATTTTATTATAATAAATAGTGTCACGCTGGGCTCCCTATAGAGTAAATCTATTTCCTCAATAATGTATCACTCAAGGCATACCGCTGTTCCACATTCCTTCAAAAAACTTCTGCTACGTGCCGCCAGGGAAGCTGTGATTGGCTGGAAGTGACAATGACTGAAGTTGAAATACCATTGGGCACTTTCCTTGAGAAGATCAAATATCTTTTATGTGCTCATTCCATCATGCGGTGCATAAGAATAATTATGATGCGCAAAGTGCAATTACCCCTGGCAACCGCCACATTCTGGTCTATTGGATTACATGAGACAAATTATTACTTGTTGATGGGAGGGAGCTGCGGCCGTGACATGTAAAATTCTATTATGTGCAGCTACCCCGAAAGTAAGACCTAGCGGATCTCTGTAATATAAGACCTACATCCGAACTAGGTCTTATTTTCGGGGTAGGTCTTATATTACAGAAATCCCTGAAGATAGCACTAGGTCTTACTTTCGGGGAAACACGATATATATATATATATATATATATATATATAT